GTGATATAGTACCACCCTTTGGAGTCGTCCTTCCCTACCATCCTAGCATGGAATAAAGTCTCGAAAATATACAGGGGCAAGTCCTCGCCTAAAGACACTTCCTTCCAAAGGAAGTAGGTCCCTACGACTTGGCTCTACCCATTTGGAAGAATTTGGTTAGCGGACAATATGAAGGTCCTCAGCACTGTTCTAAAGAAAGGGTATAGAGGCACACACACCCCTGCTTTAAGCAGGTATTCACTGAAAGTTACGCAATTTGGCCTCGAAAAATAGGCTCTATCGTGGGGTCAGGAACTATCAGCTCTACGTAGTGGGGTATCCGATAAGTATTCCTAAGTTCGGTTAATTTGGAAGAGGTTATGTTGGATGGAATCTTGGCTGTCCCCAACCCACCTCGTAATCTATAGGCTTCTCAGACATACTGTACCACTCATTCGAAGCCCCAGATATCGACTCTTCTCCATTCCTAACCACTGTAATAGCCATAGAAGCCTCGGCAGATATTGCAAGTAAAGAAAATTGTGAAAAGACTACGGAAATGGTGTTGAAGGGTGAAGAGAGTGCTCCTTAATGAAAGAATACCTAAATGGATGAGGAGGTTTGCCGGAAGACTCGCCGGAAAAAATTTGACAGCAAGAAAATTTGAGAGGTTTTGATGAGTGTTTCGCAAAGATAAAGTGTGGAAATGGTAAGATTCTAGCCTTTATACCAGTGAAGGACTCAATCCCAGCCATTGGATCAAACTCCAGCTGATCTGAAGCGTCTAAAATTAAATAGATCTGAGCCACGAATTTTGAACGGTTCACATCTTCAACGTCCCAAATTAATGCGTGTGTATACCATCAGGGCTTGGCGCATGAACGTTTTCCCCAACATCATGCATCCTAATAATTAGCCAACATGATGCATTGAATGCAAATGGCTGTACGGTTATTGAAAGTCATTTCGATGCAGCCAACTTATCTTGGAAACATGCAAAAACATCACATCGCAGGCACTAATATCCAGAAGGTTTAAAAGGGAATTCAGCCTCAGCCAGTTCGAATATGAGCTCGCCTC